TCGGGATAATAATAGATACCCTTTATTTATCTAATATTTATCCTTTATTTTGTACCGATATCTATTCTTTATGTTACTATAGATCCGCCAAATAACTGTAGCAAAACAGATTAATAATGGATACATAAAGAATAGATATCGGGATGATAAAGAGATACTGGTATGTATTCTTTATATATTTATTGAATCTGTGTAAGTCACTAATAATTTAAAAAGAAAAATAGATAAATTTATTTGGCATTTACTATTTGGCAGATTTTGTAATTACTGACTATTACTAGTAATTTGAATTTGTATTGTTTTATAATACAGTATTTGCATTTTACTACAGTACTACATAAATAAGTAAAATATGTCATATATAGCTAAATATAATTAAATTCAAAAAAAATTGTTTTTTTTAAAATTGTAATTTAAAAAATTTTTTTAAAAATTGTTAGTGCTAAGTGAAAATGTAATTAAAACCAAAAATCATTAAATTAAATAAATATAATAAATTATAGATATATAAAAAATTGTTCATTATTAGTGTTACTACATATAAAGAATTATTCAATTTAAATGTTCTTTATTATTAATTGCATTTAATTATATATGTATATTGGTATCTAATTATTAAATGTGCAATTGTTATATTTTTTAACAATTGTTATCTTTTTTTGATATTTGTTTTCTTTACTAATAAAATTAAACACATGTTAACAAAACTTAATATTATTTTTATTTTTCAAGTTCTTTTGCTATATAAAAATTTTCATGAAATTCATATTTATTCAGTTTCTAATTTTTTTTTTAAAAATTAAACTGGAAGCACAAAGAGTGCTCACTCAAAAGATACCAATTTGGAAGTAATACAAGACCCGAATTAGGAGTAATGTGATAAGTGTTAAGAGGTAGAAGTTAGTCAGTGGATGTTGTACAGTAGTATATATGTGGAATATATATGATAAAAATAGGTTCAGGTTTGGGAACTATCCAGTGAGTTTGAAACCAGCCTGTTGCAGGATGGTTGATAAGGAGGTAAAATCTCATATAGCAGGTCGCATATAGGTACTCAAGTTAGTAACTGGGTGAGCTAATACCGTATATACTAGATAGTTGTAATTGTACTTGTAATATTTATAACCAAAATACCTTAGTGTAAATCTAATAAACAGTAAAGGCAAGACTGCCAAATTAAAAAAAATAAATAAATAAATTTTTTTTTAAAATTATTATTAAAACTATATTAAAGTTTACTGAGCTTAGAATAGTTTTAAAATATTATTAGCACAGATATATTTATTTCTTTGTCACTTGTACAATTATCACTTTTAGAAGTATTATCACTTTCAGAGTTAGAATCTTCAATTAAATTTTGTAATTCTTCAGTAGTAATTATCTTGTTTAGAACATTTGCTAATGCTTCTCTTTTATGATTATCTGTAGGTTTTGCATAAACATAATATCCACCAGTGGATTTGTGATCACTAATTGCACAATCAATATTTTTAGATACTCCAATACTAAATAATTCTATAATGCTTGTTCTTCTGCCTAAATGATCACTAATATTTCTTGTTTTTGTATTTATTTTACATTTAACACAAATTAGTTTGAACAGTGAACATATTGTATAATCAGCTAATAGTTTATCTAAATACCATTTTCTCTTAACAATAGCTTTAACAGTTTATATATTAGTATATATAAATTAATATATAAGTAATAAAAATATAGTATAAATATATATATTATCATTTGGACTTCAACAGGCAGAAAAATAAAAATTTTGATATTTAGAATTTTTGGAATAAAAAGAAAAATACTTTTTTATATCCAAATTTGGCTCTTCAATATCTTGTAGATCAGATAGAAAAGGTATAGTTAAATCAAACTAGTTTTCATCTATTCCTTCTTGGTCATTTTTTTGTTGAGTCTTTCTAAAAATGATACTATTTGGAGTAACTACAATTTTTTGCAAGCACAAGTTTACATGTTCTTTGCCTTTGGTTGTACCAAGTATAAAAATTTAGAAAAAAACCTGTTTTAATAATCCTAAAGGAGTATTTGAATCTAACATCTTATGATTTAATATATGCCAAATTTTCTTAGTAGTTAAACCATTAATAGATTTTAATTACCAAGTCCTTTTTTTTTATATCTTTCAAAAAACCATCGAATTAAGCATAAAGATCAGAAAACTTATTTTTGTCATACAAACTGTATTTTCAACCAGGCTTTATATCTTGAAGATGATGACTAATTGCTAACAAAGTATTCTTTAAAGAAGTTTTTAAATAATATCTACCTTTTTTTGGTATTACACTACATAAAAATTGAAATACTTAATATTCAATTATTTCCTTATCCAAACTTTCAAATGGTTCACTATAATTAATATCTAACTGCCATTAATTCATAACTTTAATCCACTATTTAGTATTTTTAACAATATTTTCTGGAATACAGCCTTTAGCAAGTGCCACAAGTAGGTCACTAAAAGGTAAATAATTAAATTATTCACCTATATTTGAATTTGTATATTAAAAAAGAAAAAGATTATGAAAAAGTAAAATTTTATTTATATTTATAATTTTTGAAACTGATTAATTTTGTGATCTATTACAATTTTATTAATTACTATTGTCATTAAAAGTGACGATTAACTATATTAGATATTTTGTTATGCCAGATAAAAAGTTATAAGACACAAGTGCCTTATAACTATAGTACAATTTGTATTTGAAACACTTGTAAAAATGTGAATTGTACCTTACTGATATTTGCACATGTGAACTGATTGGTTGAATTTTGCACACTTTCGGTGCTTAAAATCGACCAATCAAATCACATTCTGCAAATATCTCAGTTATTTAGCACTTCATGCTTCATAACTATTAATTATTGTTGCAATATATGCAAAAAATATTTTAAACTATTTTCTATATACTTATCTATGAATGAGAATTTGCCAATAATTTATTAACTTATTTTGTGAAAGGAAGTATAGATATTAAATGTTCTATCAAAAAAATATGTTTTATGTTATGCACAAAATTGGTAAGTATATATACTATATAAAGATTACAAATCATTTCTCTGAAAACTTTTCCCTAATAACTTTTTCACTAAAAATATTTTACTGAAACTACCTCCCTGATATAATCTATTTTTTTGAAACTATTTCCTTATATAAACCACTTTTCTAAAGGTATTTCTAGGTATCTCTGATTAGAGATGCCTAATAATAATATTTTGGAGCTAAAAGCCAATTAAAATGCAAAATAGTTATATGACTGCCATTTTCGTATAGCACAGAGAACAATCTTTGCAAATCAGTCTGAAAAAACAAAACAACAACAAAAAGTGCGAAAAAGTAAAGAAATATAAAAAATATCAAAAATGGCTATCTAAACCTATTTTGAGATACTAATTAAAAGTGTCAGGAAGGTAATTTTGCTTATATAACTTGCTTTTGCTCTAACTCTATATGACCTTAACTCTAATAAAAGTTATATGATTAGGCATAGCTTTGGGCCAGAGATATATAAGCTAAACATATCTGACCAGAGATGTATAGAATTTCCCCTTCTCTAAAATTATTTATCTAACATATCTAGTTTCCTGAATTTTTACCTTTCTGAATTTCCACCTCCTAAAATTTCTATCTTCCCAAATTCTCACTTCAATGAAATTCCCACTTTACTAAAATTTCCATTTTTCAAAATTCCCACTTCTCTAAATTTTCATTTTTCTAAATTTCTATTTTCTAAAATTTCTACTTCTTCAAAATTTCCACTTTTTAAAATTCTCACTTTTTTAAAATTTACACTTTTTTAAAATTTACACTTTTCCAAAATTTACATTTTTTTGAAATTTTCACTTCTCTAAAATTTCTACTTTCTCAAAATTTCTACTTTTTCAAAATCTCACTTTCCTGGAATTTCCATTTCCTCAAAATTCCTACTTCCCAAAAATTCTCATCTCCTCTCCTTGACATTTTTATCTTTCTAAATTCCAGCCTCCCAATATTTTTATCTTCTGACATCCCCACTCTTCCTTCCTAATATATTCTTTTTGAATCTGCTCTTTTTTTATTGTATTGGCAGAATTTTTGAATTTAAAAATTATTAATAATATTAATTTATAAATTTTGATTCAATTGTTTATGTAATATTGTGTAATTGCCAGATTAAAATATAAAAATATAATAAAAATTATTTGAATAATTGTATTTGATTTGCTAATTAATTTTTTTTTTATATAAATATTTATAAAACTGTTATAAAACTGTTTTATAAAAAACAGGCACTGCCTGAAAACAGGTTTATTTAATCAAAGATTTAAAATCAGCATAGAGAATTGAATTCTGAAGAAATTAAATTCTTGACTAAAATAAATAAATTATAAGGTAGTATAAGCATATCTGATAATAGATTTATTTGATGGTTTATTATATTTTGCCTGTCTAATTTGAGCAGGCTTCTCAAGAATAGTTTCTTCATGATTTCTTGGGTGCCTCGGGTCTTGATCAGTCATGTGAGAAAAGTCTTGCACAATGATTTCTGGCAGGTTTACCAATACTATGATAGTGCTTGCCAAATAACTCGAGTTATTCATTATTTGGTATCTTACATTGTTTAGCAAGCACAATCATCGTGAACCACTGTTATTATATGCTATGCAGACAGATAATAACATGACTTTTATTAATAGCTCCAATCTTTTTTGCCATCATACCACCATTTAAATTTAAAGTTGATCTTCATCAAAAATTTTATATTATCTTATTATACTGTATTATATAAAATATATACAGTATGTTTATTATTATTATTAATTAGATTTTATAATATATAAATATTACTTGCTTAAAGTATTCGTGAAATGATATTAACATGAATGCAAGATAATTAAAAGATTCAAATCCAAGCAGTCATGGATTTCAGTTCAATTTATATGTAAATAAAATTTTTTTTCCCACATTATATCATGACTAGGAATTTTTCTAAGGGAAAACATGTAATTCTAAAAATGAATTTCATGACAATCTACTTTTAGAATTGCAAATTTCTTCACACAGACATTTTCACAATCATGAAATACTCCTG